TTTGTTCTGAAATTATTCTAAGGTTTTGTCTGTTTTCCTTAATTTTGTCAGTGTTTTCCTTGATCTGTCTCTCAGTCCTTTGAAGATACCTAAGTATAATTCCTTTGAATTCCTTACCAGGGAGTTGAAATGCTGCTTCTTCCTCAGGGATGTGTTCTGGGTCTGAATTCTGCTCCGTTGTTTCTAGAACTTTATCTTGTTTCTTTGGTGGACTGTTATGGTCTGTTGTCTCTGAGACATTGTGATGTTGCTGTATTTAGATCTCTGTTAACTGTTTGTGAAGAGCAGTTAAGGGTGAGTCAGGCTTTTCCCGTGGGTCATTTTTCATTGGCCAGTTTGTACAGAAGGAAGTGGTGGCTCTTACTCTATAAGTGGAGCAGCAGGATGTGCAGGTTTAGTTGCATCATATGGCCATAGTTGTGTCATCCACTCAGTTAGACAAAAGCAACAATCAAAAGCCATAAAAAAAAGTAAAGACAAGTGGACAAAAAACACACTGCACAAACACACAGGACCAATCACCAAAAAAAGAAAAGAGGAAAAAAAAAATCTGCAATATCTGGGGAGATGGCCATAAGACAAAAAGGTAGAGGAGGAGAATAATGAAGAAAAAAATTGGAAAAATGCAAAAAGAAAAACAAGGAATGGGGTTAAACACAAGAAAGAAAGAAGAAAAAAAAAATGGGAACCAGGAACAGGGAAGAGAAAAACTGCTGAAAACTAGTACCTGTAAATGGAAGAATAAAGAATAATAATAAAAAGGATGGGGGAAAAAAGAGAAAGAAAAAGAATAGTAACAGTAATTTTAAAACAGACAAAAACAAAGGAAAAAAAAATCTGTGCAGGGTGGGGCAGGGCACCCAGGATCAGTCCAAACACACAGAGTAGGAAGGATTTCCTGCTGGCCCAGAAGGTGGGTAGGAGTGGGTGACAGCCATACCTCCATTCACCAAGAGGGTGTGGGATATAAGAGTAATAAGGGGAACATCACACCTTTCCAATCATTCGTGTCCGGAATGTCCTTGTGGTTCCCGGAAAGTGGAGTCTATTCCTAGGTCCCTGGAATCTGAGAGAATGCTGTCACTTTAAATATGCAAAATATTTGAACCAGTTGTAAACATTCAAAATGGCTGCATCCTACAGAAAGGCCAAAGTCCACGGCTCAGCCCATCTCCCTCTTCATTGTTTCTCCCTTATTCACCAGCCTCCAGTGCAGTCCTCCATGCAGCCCCTGGCTCACAGGGCTGATTTTTAGGTTAATTTGTAGGTCCTAACACCACCTGGCAATATCCAAGCTGTCTGTGCTGTTAGGATCACTGACAGATCACAGCTCTCTGTATGTCTCTTTTTTGGTGTTTTCATGCAGGTTCTTCTAGTAGTTGGGGGCTCGTCCACTTCTATATCCTTCCTTTCAAAGCTCAGGGCTCCAGGATTATCTTCTGTATCTGTGTTCACTGGTTCCCCTTTTCTTTTTTGAAGAGGGTCTGTGTAGTGTGTCTGCCTATTCTGCCATCTTACTGGAACTCCAGTGTTCTAACTTCTTAAGATTAAGAAAAAGAAGTGGTTGGCCAACGAATGTAATTTTTTTTTTTTTTTTTGGCCTTAAGGCTTTAAATTATTTGAAACTAATATTGCTAATCCTGCTTTCAGAGTCCTTGGTTATTGTTGTTATGTGCCATCTAGTCGGACCTGACTCATAGCGACCCCTCCTTGGGTTTCCAAGCTGATATCACTATGGAAGTAGATTGCCCAACCTTCCTTCTGAGGAATGGCTGGTGGGTTTGAACCATCAGCCCTCTGGTTAGCAGTCAAGTGCCTTATTGAAAATGCAAATTCACTGCCATTAAATAGATTCCAACTCATAGTGACTCCCAATGGGTTTATAAGCCTGTAAATGTTTATGCAAGCAGATCACCTCATCTTTCTTCCATGGGGTGGCTGGTGGATTCAAACCACTGACCTTTTCATTAGCAGCCAAATCCTTTATTACATCCCAGCACTGGACTACTAACCCAAATACTAGCAGTTTAAATCTATCTAAAGGCACCTCAGAAGTAATGCCTAGAGATCTGCTTCTGAAATGTGTCTTGAAAACTCTCTGTAACAGACAGTTCGACTCTGCACATGTGTGGTTGTCATGCATCATAACTGACTTGATGGTAACAACCAACTAAAGCCCTGCTTTATGCTTAACTTTGATTGTTAAGATTTTGCCTACTTATTACTGTACTTTTATCCAAATAAGATGTGCCTTCTGTGTCTGTTTTCCAATCTTCTTCCCGTGGAGGTATTTTCATAAATGTGCTATGCTAATTCTTTTTTTTTTAACATGTAAAAAATAATTGGCACAGCAGCACTTATGAAAATACCTCCTGGGGGAGGGAGTGGTTGACAAAAAATGTAGGTGTTATGTTACCTGTACAAAAACATGGTATATTCATTTTGATTCCTCATTCATTGGCTCCTTCCGTTACAGTTATTTGTTAATAAACTGCAACACTTTTAAGGCACTTGGGTGTTCTTAGGACCCCTGGTAGTACAGTGGTTAAAGCACTCTGCTGCTAACCAAAAGTAGAAGACTCAATGGCAATGAGTTTGGATTTTTGGTTTTGGGTGTTATTTTCAATTGTCCTTAATAGCTGCTTCTTGAATAGTCTGGATTTCTTCTGATATAAATTTCCCCCACAACTCTAAGCACTGCTACATTGTTTCCTAGTATTCCATGGTATGCAGAAGTCTGAGAACAACTAGATTTTGTTGTTGTTAAGTAATTTTTGTTTTCTCCAACTCCTTTTAGATCACATCCAACTTCATCAATACAGTTCTAGCCACATACTCTATTTCTTTTCACCTTCTATCAAGAACCAGTTCATAGGTGGTGCCTGGCAACCTTCACTGACCAATGTAACTGGGGATACAATCAGTCATCCTGGATAGAATGGGAGAGAAATGTAGAAAACTCTAATTGTTTAAAAGAAGGCAGATTAATTGGACCACCTGAGACCAGAGGACACCGTGAGACTATTGCCTTAAGGTACTCTTAAACCTTGAACTAAAACTATCCCAAGATCACCTTTTAGCAAAAAAACAGTGACACACAAGGATTACCTGTCAGATCGATGCACTACTGAAAAAAAAAAAATATATATATATATATATATATATGAATCCAAAAGGTCATGGTCAAGATTTAATCCAAAGAGAAAGTAAGATAGGGGGGCAGGGAAACTAGAAGGCTGAAAATGGAACAACCTGAGCACAGGTGAAGGTTGACACAATGTGGAAAAGGTAACTAATGCCATTCATCAATTTGTATGGAAACTGTCAAATGGGAACTTAACTTGCTGGGTAAACTTTCATCAAAAACACATCATCATTTAAAAAAAAAAAAAAGAATTTAAGAAGAACCACTTCAAATGCCACTTGCTACAAGACAAACTTCATAGAGGTCAGAATTAACATATCCTTGATCTAAATTCATACAACTGTGGTACTACTATAGCACTGACTACTGTCTATAATGCATTATTAGAAAAGTAGAAGTGGGCTCTGTAGTCAGACCTGGGTTCATATTTCAACCCAGCTATTTTCTGTTTGAACTTCAACATCTTACTGAGTTCTCTGTATCAATTCCTCATCTGCAAAATGGAAATATAGTAAATAACTCATAGAATGGTTATGATGATAAAATTAGCTTAATATGTATAAAATACTTAGACCAGGTCAGAGTACATAGTTAAGTGTATATGACATCCCACCATATATGGATATATGTGTGAGGTGTGTTTTCTCCACCATTTGTAATGAGAAAAACTGTTACTAGGGAATGAAACAAGTAATAAAAGTGTCAATTTTTAAAGGCTTGGCAATTAAATATGAAAAAAAATATAATCAGGGAAGGCTTAGAGAAAGAAATGACATTTCAACTGAACCTTAAATATTAATTTGATCGTATTTTAAGAGCACTTTCACAAGCTCTTTTAACCCTTACAACTTGGTGAGGTTATCATTTTAGAGAAGAATGAAGGATAATAACTCAAATTCACGTTAGAAAGCGAGAACCAAGATTAGAAGATCTCATTTTACCTGGAGCTTGCACTCTTTCTGCAGTTTCCCATGCAGGATGAAGGATAAATAAGACAGTAATGCACAGGTTGGAAAAGAAAGGATTAAGAGTTAAAAAACAAAATTCCAGGTTTAGGAAATGCTTTAAAGAATGGTGCAGTGAAATTATGTCATTCTGGATAAACTGCAAGAGCTAGCAATGAAACATTTACACAACGCCTTGCAAAGAATGCACTACTTCTTTCAATTGATACCCCTTCACTTTATCTTCTAGTCTGAAGTATCTTATCAATATAACTATGGATTTTGCCTTATAAGACCCCCCCCCAAAAAAAAATGAATAAAAGTAAAGGAGCAATTTTATGTCATGACTACAGTAAGTAATGAGTTATTTTATATATTCACGATAGGAAGTTATATAAAATAAGAACTGCACACATGATCATAGAAAGGTACTCTTTCTTCCCCACAAAAAATGGTTTGAATGAACCTTAATACTCAACAAGATTAACCATTTTACTAACACCTGATTTAGAAACATATGAAATATCTAGAATAGACAACTGCATAAAGACTTAAGATTACTTATACTACCACGAGCAGGTGGGAAGGAAAGAGAAAACAAGAACCACTGCTTAGGAGATGCAGACCTTGCTAAAAGTGATGGAAAAAAATGGAAAAGAATAATGCCGATGGTGCAAAACACAAGGAAATCAATTAATGCCACTAAATTGCATATGTGAAGAATGTTGAAATGTCAAATGCTTTGTTACATATGTAACAAATTTTTTACATATTTACCTATTTACCACATTTAAACAAAGAAAAATATTTATTCCGTTAATATCTGACCATTACAAATCTCATTATTAAAATTATTTTATTGTTACTTCATGAAATTTAAGTATCCCCAAAGCCCTGAATCAAGTGATCTGCTAGTTTTCCAACAGCTGTGATTTGTCTTCTTCTTTTGGTCTGTTCAGTAGAAAGTGAACTATCTGAAGTAGAACATCATCATTAAAACCTTTCACCTCATTATCTTCGATTGCTTCATAAAGAGGCTTACTGTGTGTCCCCCAACATATATTTTTACGAGGGTTATTTCGATCAGCTTGTGCAGTCAGTGCCAAAGTATTTAACTGGTAACAGAAAAAGGAAAAGTATTTTCCATCTGTGATCACGCCCTGGGAGACAAAAGGCCGGGTAACATCTGCTTCACTCCAGAATCCTGCAGAAGAAAAGATATGCTGAAATTTACAAATATATTTCACTAAAACAGACAAACAAAACTTAACACATTAGAACATATCAAAAATCTGGAAACTTTAGCTATCAAATTCCTGAAGATCTCAAAGTCTTCCATTATTTTCTCCATTCTAAGCCTATATTCCATTCTTGCATTAAAAATTACTTTGTACCTCTGTATCCCCTAAGGTCCTTGAGTAGCGCAGTTTGCACACAAAACTGCTAACCAAAAGGCTGGTGGTTTGAATCGACAACAGAAGGAAGGCCTACAGATCTATTTCTGTAAGATCGTTGTTGTTAGCTGCCACTGAGTCAATTCCGACTCATGGCCAAGTAAAACTGCGCCACAGGGTTTTCAAGACTGAAACTTCTGGGAAGCAGTTCACAGGCCTTGCTTTGGAGTCACCTTTGAATAGGTCTGAACCATCAACAGTTTGGTTAGCAGTCTCCAACGCTTAAACATTGTACTACTCAGGGAATCCTTGTGTAAGAGCACAGCCATTTAAAACTCTATGGTGTGCAATTCTGCTCTGAAATATGTGCTGTCACCAAGGGTCGAATACCAAATGGAGGGAAATGGGTTTGATTTTGGTTTGAATATCCCCAAACTCATGAATCATCCTTTTCCCCAGCAGCAGCCTTCCACAACTTTCAACCTTCACTCACTTCATCTAAGAACAGCTGCAGCTCTATTTATGCAGATCCCTCCCACATGTGGTATTAACTACATCATTACTCAGTGGATTCAAATATGCTCATATTTCCTCCATACTAACAGTGTCTCCCACTCAATAATCATAATGCCTACTTATTTCATCAAATACATAAAACACACTGGGAAAAAAAAAAAAAAAAACCTTCAGAAAAACTGTCATTCTAAGGGTTTCCACCAATGTCCTTAAACAAACTCAGTGCCTTCCTTTCCATTATTTCAAAACCAGTTTTATGAACTGCTATCATTACCTGGAATGTCTATCTGATAAGCTCCAAATGAAACCCACTGCCATCAATTCAATTCCAACTGACAGCGGCCCCTACCAGGTTTTCAAGGTTGTAATCTTTATGGAAGTAGACTGCCTCATCTTTCTCCCATGCAGCAGCTGCGGGGTTCAAACTGCTTACCTTTTGGTTAGCAAACCAATTCCTTAACCACAGTGCCACCCAGAGCTCCTTATGACAAGCTCCAAATAAAAAAAACTAAACTCACTGCCATCGAGTTGATTCTGACTCATAGCGACCGGAATTGGGCTTCTGAGGCTGTAAATCTTTATGGGAGTAGATCACCCCATCTTCCTTCCATGGAGCAGCTGGTGGGTTTGAACCACTGACCCTCTGGTTAGCAGCCAAATGACTGATCCACTATGCTGCCAGAGCTTAATAATGTTACTACACAAATCTTCTCGGTACTTCCTACCGAAGAAATGGCTTAATACACTTAACTCCAACTGCCACTGCCAAGTGTTAACTTTATTTCTCCACACATATTTTACATAAGTCTTAATGTAGCTAGTCAAAGAATAATATGGGTAAAATATGGAATTAATCCTACGTAAAAAACAGTATTTTTTTCTCTTTTGAGAAAAAGTGTCATTCTAGTATCTTCAAAAGTTTCATCTCACTTTTTCTGATTCAATCTCTATTCTACTGTCACTCTCTCCATTCATTTCTATTGCAGAAATGTAAAGCCAACAATCGAGCGTCAAAAGTTAATAAAAGATATAAAGGAAAAAAGGTGAACCTATGCCTTGGAAACTGAAGGAGGGGTCACTATGAGTCGGAGATGACTCCATGGCACATAACAACAACAGCAATAATTAAATTTGTAATAAAATTCCTCCAGGATATTTATATAGGATTAATCTAGTTACATATGTATTATGTCAAGTTTTAGAATAAAACTCAAATGTCTCACAATGGGCTCTAAAGTCCTATGTCATCTGGCCTCTGGCTTCCTTTATATCACCTCCCACTAGCTCATCAGCCTTCATATTGTTCCTTAAATACTTCAAGCTTGATCCTGCCTCAGAAATTTACATGCTATTCCTTTTGCCTAGAAGTGTCTTCCCCCAGATTTGTACATAGTTACCTCATAACCATACAGATGTTATTTTTTGAGACCGCCCCTGAATTATTCTGCCACACACTTCATTCACATACACACCCCATAGATCTCCCTGTCCCTTACTCTACCACATTTTCTTCATAATACTACCACTAACTGAAAATATTAACACATGTTATCTTCCACTCTTCCCTATAAAATAAGCTCCAGCAGAGCAGTATCTGGATCTGTCTGACTCATTTAACACTGCTTCTCCAGGGCCAAAAGTAGCTGCCGCAAGATTTACTAAATGAATGAACACTCTGCTAATTCACATACTGGATCCGGCCTTTAAAGAAATTCTATAGAATGGCCTTGATGAATTCTACAATTCAATCTATCATTATCATTTCTTTTTCTAGATTCAGAAATGCCTTCAGAAAGCTGCTGTCATCTACAAAGAGTTGACTTAATTGGCCATAGAGTCGTTGAAATGTTTGAGGAAATGATCAGAAAAATAAATAAATAAATGCACAGAGAGATGGTCAAAGTAACTACCTAAGTGGACTTGCCAGTTTCAAAGTAAAATATTTCACCACGGTTTTTAAAATGCTGTATTTTGTGCCAATTCCAAAGTTTTCAAAACAGTTCATCCTACATTTTAACCCACAGAAAATAATTAGAACTATTAAGTTCTTATAATGCCAGGGACACCTTTCAGAAACCAAAATGCCACACAACTACTTTTACCTTGATACATAGCTTGTGCTCCAGTCCAGGCAAAAAGGCTTGCAATAGCATTAGCTCGAAAAACAACTTCTATCTGATCAGCACAGTTTTGTTTCAAAAGCCTTTCCCTTTTCAACTTGTTAGGTAACAAATGAAACTGGGTGTGACCGTAACAGTGTGGATCTGCTGTTTTCGAGCCTGAAGAATGAAATAAAAACACTCCACATGAAAGGCATATGTAGAACATACGTCTTTAGTATTTGCTTCAAATCTATCTTTCTACACATCATTTACTCAGCATTTGAAACACAAAAATTGGAATGGTTGTTTTGTTGTTGATTTTAATAAAGATACATTATGCATAAAAGCATAATTTCTCGATCCACTAGCTATCACAAAGCTCATTATGACAAACAGTAAGTCATAAAACCACATATAAAAGCTATTTAAAATTCTGTATTATTTCAGTTCTCTCCAATCCTTTAGTCATCACTGGGGGCTTTACTATCTGCCTTGTTATAATCACCAGAGGATATAAATACTTAATGACTTTTAAAACCTCCCTTACTGTTTTAATGAATGATTAAGTACCTTGATCCTAACAGTCATAAAAAAGAGACTTTCACAACACTACATTTCAAAGGAAAGAAAATAAAGGCTGATTTTTCATCAAATGCTGACCTTCTTGACTGTGGTTTTCTCAAGAGGAAGTTTCTCATAGTTTACTCCCTAAGACCACAGTGACTGAGAAGGGGCTGATAGCTGCACGTGTTCAGGATGGCTATCATAGCACATCGCACAAACAAGATACTTGTGCAAAAAGCAAAAAAAAAAAAAAGCTAATCAGTCTCCAGTTTAGTCTAAAACTTGTTCTTCTAGATAATAAATGAACAACGTTCAGTAAGAATCATAAGTATTTTTAAAAAGTTAAATATATAGTAAAGATTAGTGGGAAAGGGAAAGAGGAAGCTTTGGCTTAGGGGGCACTGTGTTTGCGTCAGTGGTGGGGGATACCCTGGAAAAAGACAGTGATGATGGGTGCACAACAGACGGCTGTCACTGGTGTCACTGAATTCTACATGTAGAAATTGTTAAATTGGCGAATATTTTGGTGATTTTCCTGACAATTAAAAAAAAAAAAAAATGCTTACTCAAGTAGAAGTAAGTAAAGTTTAAAACTGTGAGCTGAGAAAATATTCTTTCCAGTTTCCATGCATGGGATTATGAGACTGTGATTACATTTCTTGTGTAATACCTGAACTCCTTGGTCATCGTGAATTAATTTTGCACTATAGCTAATGATCTAAAATCCATGTAAGACACTTTGAATACATTTATGGCATAAAAAGTCCAGAGAAACTTACCAGTAAATATGAGGTTTTCATATTGTCGTTTGAATAATGGAAGCTTGTCTGGCTTACATTTCATAACAGGGATTTCTAGAGGAACAGAATAATCCAGCGGTACAAACTTAAAGAAGAAGAAAAGATATACTGAATTCACAATGGTATTAATATGCATTTTATTCACATTCTTATTGTGGTGGTGGTGTTGTTATGTGCTGTCGAGTTGGACTCAACTCATAGCGACCCCCCCTTGGGTTTCCAAGGCAGTATCACTACGGAAGTAGGATTGCCCAACCTTCCTTCCGAGGAGTGGCTGGTGGGTTTGAACCGCCAGCTTTCTGGTTAGCAGTCAAGTGCTTTAGCCACTATGCTACCAGAGCTCCTACATTCTTATTAGAGCTTTTAAAATGTTAAAATTAAATGTTTTTACAAAATGATTTGGTAACACTATCGTCTCATAGGAGCTCTGGTAGCGTAGTGCTCAGACAGGTCAGTAGCTTGAATCCACCAGTCACTCAGTGGGAGAAAGATATGGCAGTCTGCTTCTGCAAAGATTACAGCCTTGGAAACTATGGGGTATTTTACTCTGTCCTAAAGGGATACTATAAACTAGAATCAACTCGACTGCCATGGGTTTCATTTGTTTTTTTTCAGATCTTTTAAAGAAAATGTTTCTTGACCCCTGACACAAACACAAAGATATTAAAACACTCCAAATATGCTAGCAGCTTCTCCAGAACAACTTCAAATTAAAAGGACCTGATTCATAACTGTAAAAATGCCCCAGTTAATTACCACCTAGGGTGGTGGTGTTATCAGTTGCCATTGAGTTGGATCTGATTCATGGTAACTGTTATGGGGACTGAATTGTCCTCCAAAAAAAAAAAAAAACCCACAAAAAACTGTTTCTATCAAGTTGATTCCAACTCACAGCGACCCTACAAGATAGAGTAGAACTGCCTCATAGGGTTTCCAAGGTTGTAATCTTTATGGAAGCAGACTGCTCCATCTTCTTCCTATGGAGCGACTGGTGGGTTGAAACTGCCAACCCTGCGGTTAGCAGCTAAGTGTTTAACCAGTGCATTACCAGGGCTCCTTTCTTCCCAAAATAACTGTTGTAAACTCTAACCCCTGTATCTGTGGTTATAATCCCATTTGGGAATGAGTCATCATTGCCATGTTAATGAGGCAAGTATTAGTGTAGGGTACGTCTTAAGTCAATGTCTCTCGATATTAAAGAGTACATTAAATAAGCAAGGCAAGCACAAAGAAGGAGAAGATACAGGCTACACGACTGCAAAGGAACCTAGGAACAGAAGGCAGAAAGAGAAGAGGACCTTCCCCAGAGCACAGAGAGAGGATCTTCCTTCCCCTAGAGCCAGTGGACTGAACCCCAACTTCCAGCCTCCTAAACCATGAGAAAATACATTTCTATTTGTTAAAGCTATCCATTTGTGGTATTTCTATAATAGCAGCACTAGATAACCAAGACAGTGACCTTATGTATAACAGAATGAAAAGCTGCCTGGGCCTGCATCATCCTCACAATTTTTGCTATGTTTGAGCCCACTGTTAACAGCTATTATGTCAATTTTCCTCATTATCCCTGAATGAAATTAAGCCTGATCTTCTGTCAGTCCACAGTATATTAAAATTCTTCTCCAGCACCACAATTCAAATGTGTCAATTCTTCTTCAGTCTTCCTTATTCATTGTCCTATGCTTCCATAGCACTGGAGGTGACTGAGAAGACTATGGCTTGGGTCAGGTACACCTCTGTCATTAAAGTGACATCCTTACTTTTAACAATATAAAGGGGTCTTAGGAGATTTGCCCAATGTAGTATGTCATTTGATTTCTTAATTGCTGATTCCATGTAAAACCTAAAATCCAAACCAACTGCTATCAAGTCTGTTATGACTCACAGGAGAGACATTATTGGAAAGAGTAGAAATGCGCCACGGGGTTTCCAAGCTATAAATCTTTATGGAAGCAGACTGCTTCACCTTTCTCCCACTGAACCACCAAACTTTTGGTTAGTAGCCAAGTGCCTTAACCAAAGTACCACCAGAGCTCCTTATTCCATGTAGCCTAGTTTAAATTACAATCATATACTACTATTCAACTTTTTATATTAAGAAAAGATCTGTATTGTCCTGAAAACTGTTATCTTAATCCCAGTTAATATGATTCTCTGACCTCTACAGAATATACCATAGTAGATTAAAAAGGGGAAAGAAAATTTCAGATGTTTGACAGAAACTTGAAAGCAAGGGCCCATGGAAATTTTTTAACTTACCAAGCTCATTATCTAGTCTATCTATGACATTGCCTACTTCAGACATCAGTAGATACATATACATACATATGTACAAATTCTTACCTCTGGAAGCTGCTTGGATATTCTAATCTGGTTGTGTGGTTTATCATCTATCTGGTATCGCAAAGCATCAACTCGACCTTTCCGATGTCCCCTAGGAATAATTTCCTCATCACGTAACCAGTAAAAGTGAACTGGGCGTTTATAATCTACCAAAAGATATTAAAATATTTTTCACTTGATCATTTAGATAAATTTGGCAATTAGAGCACTAAAGATATTAACAACACACAACATTTGTACGGCTGTGCCTAATTTAAATAATCAGAAATGATTCTTTGATGTACAACTAGTTTGATTCACGTGGTAATCTAACTTAAACTATTATGCCTGAAATATTTGTACCAATAATATGCTGAACACTAACTTAAGTCAAGAATAAACATAAAAAACTAATTAGACCAATAAAGAAAATAAGACCACCAGGAATACCACTCACCAGAAACAAAGGTAATTTAATAAGAATCAGAACTGTCCTATGAATTAATTCCAGTTTCACAATAATTCTCAAAAGTTGGTATAGTTGTCATAATCTCCATTTTATGTAAGAGGAACTAGAATCAGGCAAGGTTAAGGACACTTTCCATTCCCCTCAAGACCTTCATTTTTTCACAACTGAGAAAGAGAAGTAATATGTACACTACAAGTCTCAGTTGAGAACTCATGTATAGTTCTAGCAGCATTAATTCAACAAATATTTATTAAGTTACCTACTCGTTAACACATATACCTCAGAGGTACCTAGCCTAACACCTTACAGCTGGTAAATATGGAGGCTAGCAATCTAACTTAACTATTCTGGGTTCCCAGTAAGTAATCAATAACTTCTATTAACTGCTCAGTGCTGACATGGAAAGCAATTAACACCGGCACAATTTTAAAAACCAATGTTTTGGATTTATCTGCCACCTGGTCGGTAAGTTAATAAATATTTATTGAACTAATGCCACTAAGACAATTCCACAAGGGCCAATATGACCTTGATTATATCCCACCTCAATTTAAAGATCATCTGATCAATAGATTTGATGCATAGAACACCAATGACCAAAGACTAGACAAGTTGTGGGGTGACATCAAGAACATCATACATGAGGAAAGAAAATGATCATTAAAAGGCAAGAAAGGAAGAAAACACTGACATGGGTGTCAGAGGAGACTCTGCAACTTACTCTTGAACAGAGTGGCTAAAGCAAATGAAGAAATGACAATATAAAAGAGATGAGCAAAGGATTTCAAAGGGCAGCTGAAGAACACAAAGTCAATTACTATAATGAAATGTGTAAAGATTTGGAGTTAGAAACCAAAAGAGAAGAACACGCTTGGCACTTCTGAAGCTGAAAAATTTGAAGAAAAAAATTCAGCCTCAAGTTGCAATACTGAAAGATTCTATGGGCAAAATATTGAATGATGTAGGAAGCAACATAAGAAGATGGAAGGAACACTGTACCAAAAAGAATTGACCAATGTTCAACTATTTCAGGAGGCAGCATGCAATCAAGAACCAATGATATTGAAGGAAGAAGTCCAAGTTGCACTGAAAGAACTGGAGGAAAACAAGGCTCTAGGAATTGATGGAATAACCATTGAGCCATTTCAACACATAAATGAAGCACTAGAGGCTCTTACTTATGCCAAGAAATTTGGAGGAGAGCTACCTAGCCAACAGACTAGATCAATATCTGTGCCCATTTCAAAGAAATGTGATCCAGCAGAATGTGGAAATTATCAAACAATATCATTAATATCACATGCAGGATGACATGATCCTATACATAGAAAACTCAAGAGACTCAGCAAGAAAAGTACTGGAACTAATAGAAAGGTTCAGTAAAGTGTCAGGATACAAGATCAACATACAAAATTCAATTGGATTCCTCTACATCAACAAAGATATCTCTGAAAAGGAAATGAGCTCTGGTAGCATAGTGGCTAAGGCACTTGACTGCTCACCAGATGGCTGGCGGTTCAAACCCATCAGCCACTCCTTGGAAGGAAGGTTGGGCAATCCTACTTCTGTAGTGATACTACCTCGGAAACCCAAGGAGGGGTCGCTATGAGTCAGGGCTGACTCGATGGCACATAACAACAACAACAACAACCAAAAAGATAAAGTAGTTAGGAATATTAAAACTTACCAAGAACACAAAAGACCTACAAAAAAGAAAACTACAAAACACTACTGCAAGAAACTATAAGAGACCTACATAAACGGAAAAACATGCCATGTTCATGGATAAAACCAAACCAAACACACTGTCAACTCATAGCGACCCCTCCTTGGGTTTCAGAGGCAATATCACTACGGAAGTAGACTGCCCAACCTTCCTTCCGAAGATGAGCCCCTCAGGTGAGAAGGCACTCAAAATACAACTGGGGAAGAGCTGCCTCCTCAGAATAGAGATGATCTTAATGATGTGGACACAGTAAACCTTTCAGGACCTCCATTTGCTTATGTGGCACAACTCAATATGAGAAGAAACAGCCGCAAACATCCATGAATAACTGGAACATGGAATGTGCAAAGTATGAATCTAGGAAAATTGGAAGTTGTCAAAAACGAAAGGAATCCAAAAGATTGATATCCTAGGCATTAGTGAGCTGAAATGGACTGGTTTGGGCCATTTTTAATCAGACAATCGTACGATCTACTATGCCGGGAATGACAAATTGAAGACGAATGGCATGGTGTTCATCATCAAAAAATTTATCAAGATCTGTCCTGAAGGACAATGCCATCAGTGATAAGAAAATATCCATACACCTATAAAGAAGACCAGTTAATGCTACAATTATTCAAACTGAAACACCAACCACCAAAGCCAAAGATAAGGAAATTGAAGATTTTTATCAACCTCTGCAGTCTGAAACTAACCAAACATGCAATCAAGATACAAAGATTATCACTGGTGATTAGAATGTAAAAGTTGGAAGCAAGAATCACCAGTAGTTGAAAATTTGGCCGTGGTGGTAGAAATAATGTTGGAGATCGCATGATAGGATTCTGCAAGACCAATGACTTATTCACTGCAAAGATCTTTTTTTAACAACACAGTGGCTGTACATGTGGACTTCGCCAGATGGAGTACACAGGAAACAGACTGACTACATCTGTGGCAAGAGGCGATGGAGAAGCCCAATATCTTCAGTCAAAACAAGGCCAGGAGCTGATTGTGGAATAGACCATCAACTGTTCAGATGACAGTTCAAGTTGAAGCTGAAGACAATTAAAAGAAGTCCACGAGAACAAAAATATGACCTTCATTTTATCCCTCCCAGATTTGGAGACCATGTAAAGAATAGATTTGATGCATTGAATACAAATGACAGAAAACTAGAGGAATTGTGGGACGACATCAGGAATAACATCCATGAAGAAAGCAAAAGTTCATTAAAAAGACAGGAAAACAAGAAAAGACCAAAATAGAAGTCAGAAGAGACTGAAACTTTCTCTTGAATGGAGAGCAGCTAAAGCAAATG